GCACGCAAGTCACCAAGCGGCAAACCACACAGACTCATTTCGTGTTTTTGTGTTCGTCGCTGCACACGTGGCAGTGCAAGACGCGCCACTTCCGCTACACCGGTGATGCACTCTCAGGGGCTCCTCTCTAGGGGGGGGGTCACACGTGCACATCCGAGACGGCGCCCACATCTGCCCGTCTCCTGCTGAAGTGGAGCCCACCTGAACCGTTACCCCTCCATACTGAATGGGGGGGTGGGGGTGGAGTGTTAAAACAAAGGGCAACTGGAGACTCACAAAAGGCAGGGAGGGTGCGACTCCACGAATCTGGGTCAAATCTTGACGAACAAAAGAGTCTATTTCAGGAAAATTAAAAGATACTGATAACCACCGCGGCCTCGCGTTTAACAAGCTTGGTGACGCTGATCTGTGATAAATGAGCAGAAATCACCCCTCCTCAAAATACCCAGGTCTTTTACAGTGCTGTCTTTCTACAAATCTTCGACATGGGAAAGAACAAGTAATCGCATGCCTGTGTGCATAACATTATACAGGATAAATAACTAAAATCCCCCACAATGACGGCCCGATTGCGGGTCTGTTAAAATAATCTCCACTTTTAAAAACATTTTACGCCAAGAGAACTTTAGAATGCCAAAATAATGACTTCAAAGCCGTATGATAAAAACGCAAACATCACTAAGGTCTTGTTCACCAGTGAAAGTGTTTACAATAAGGATTTCCAAATAAAAGCACATGGTGAGCAGTGTTACACTGTTACACAATCTTTCTGGACTGACCCCGTGGATATAAGATTACCACACACCTCAGTATGCTCAAACCATTATAATGTCAGGGGAGGTCAAGAGCAGTTTCTGTGTGTAAGCCCAACTAACCGTGTCCTTTCTGTAACCTACATAAGAGGACTGCTGCTCTGTGGCCCTTATTCAAGAAACTTTTACTGTATAACTCAGTTGTTCTAAAGGGTACATCAAGAACAACTAATACAGCTTCCTAATTACTAACTGGACATGCAATCCCCCATCCCAAAAGAATAAAAGCAATCTCAATAGCTAAACCACCAATTTAAATTTATATAATTCAATACAAGCCTACATTGCTTGCAAATATCGAAGGGAAAATTGTGCCTAAATGTATATATGAATACACATGACCTTCGATGTTAAACGGTGCCGTTTGCAACACCCTAACAGGTCTAAATGCTTCCGATTGGCCAGCCTTTATAAGATTCAGTTATAAACTTGTAAAACACATAGTTTAGGTTTGCCGTTTGGATTAGAGCAGTAAAGGCAGCAGTCACCATGGCGGAACCGAGAATACAGGCCCTGGTGTCTGACAGCCCCAGCTGCACACCTATGGCTCATTTTAATGGCGCTGCGAGAAAACTACACCATGCATGACAAGATCTATCACCCTCTGACAAAGCAGGACTACCCCGCCGGACTGCGATCCGACTGCCAACAGTCCTGCACACATTAGGAGGCTCATTTTCATGCCGCGGCTTTAATCACGAGATCCTTCGTAAATGCATATGCAGTATCTAACAGCATACATAACCTCTTTAATTTCTGTTAAAATAAGAGGAAGACGTCTGCACGCAATCTGTCCATGTCGCCAATCAAAGTTACACGTATTGGCAGCGATAACCAACACGGCATGTGTGCGGTCCAGGCAGCTGTCACAGCAGCAATACGTGCGGGCAAACCAAGGGAAAAGATACGTGCCATAGATGGGGATGTTTTACGAATTCCGATCTCACACCTAAAATCGTCGTAAACCACCTACTAGCAGCATATAAGATAAATCCGTGCGCCTATTGTGAATTGCGATGGATCGCTTCACACGAATCATGTTATTCGACTTAAGATGTGTAGCATATGCTCGTTTAAAATCTATATATCTGAGCACGCTGCACCGTAATTCCTTAGCATACACAAGACCGAGCGATTAAGGTGTAAGCCTGTCTGATTGTTGTATTGCAGCAGCACGTATTAAACTTCCAAGTTGTTAAGCGCCCGTGTCATCGGTACGTCCATAAAAAGCTCTGATGTGCGCATGCAATCCGGATGGAGATCATGTTTGCCTGGTGACCGGTGCCCGGTGCCGCCCGGCCAGTGCTCGCGAACCCACCTTCCGAGAGCTCCAGTTCGAGCTCGGCCAGCTTCTCCCGCACCTCCGCCGGCAGGGTCAGAGCCGTCGCGGGTGTCGGCTCAAGCATCATCATTAGTAATCCAGTGGAATTGCGCTCTGCCATGGTGCTCCGGCTGGGTCTGGATCTGCTTCAGTCCGGGGCTGAAGTGCTCGCGCAGGATCCGACTCGCCTCGTTTGGCTGACGAGCGATCGGCTGGCGGCGGCGGTTTATTGCATGCAGATGTAGGCAAAAGGTTTCGCAGTCCTTGCCTTACACTCGCTCCGTCTCCGACTCGGGGAAAGAAATGCAAACCTCCCCGCCTCCAATCTCCACTTCAAATACAAGCTCTCCGAGCCAATACGTTCCGGTGCCCTGCTTTCACGCGCTCTTCGTCCTTCTCCACCCTCGATTAAAAAAAATAAAACTCCATTCAACTCAGGGTACCATGTCCAAGCCTACAGTGCCGCCATTGCAGCACTACCGACAGCGGCACCAAGAATGGTGCGCGTGCACTGCAGGCGCGCGTGTCCGGCGGGGCCGGGAGAGCGCATTAACTTTAAAAGCGAGCAATCCGAGAACAATATCGCAAAAGAACAAAGAGGTCTATAAAATGCCAATCAAGATCCAGATTTGTCTACACTCTTGTTCCTGTAGCTTATTACAGATTTTTAGCCTCACTGGGCTACCCACATGTGCTCGGCGGGGCTCTGACGTGAAACACGTGAGGTTATTGAGTCGTATTTACACTCCAAGAAACATAGAATGTACTGAAAAAGGAATGACGTTTGCCAAGTGTGCAAGAGTTCAGTAAAGTGCATTTAACTAACAGAATTAGATTAATCTCATATTAAATGCAAATAAATAATCGCTATAGCATTTCATCTACCACAAAATAAACATGTATCAGAGTTTAAATACCACAACATACTGACAGTTCTACTTCATTACATGCATTCTTTAAAAAGATCTGATAATAGTTCAAGACACCAGGCTTGTTGCTTTGTTTTTCCCGGAAAAACAGAATCCGAAGGTATGATTTTCCAGCCTATTAAAGCAATGCACTGTCAATATCCGGCACACAATTTAAGACTCAAGGAAGAATTTAGAGGCGCGTGAAGCCACACGACTACAAATCTAAGATCCCCATCTAGCGGTCAAACGCGGAACCACTGCGGTGCGTAACACCGCTATTCATGCAATGGGTTTTAAACATATTTCAGCGTTTGTATGAACAGTAATTAATATAATACCCAGAAAAAGTTCAGACTATTACACTATACAAATTGACTTTGGTTCCGGTCCCAAATACGAACGTAGACTGTACATCGTGATAGTGAAAACACGTTTTCAGGATTTTTTTTTACAAATGCACATATGTAACCTCCCATTTACATATGTGCTCAGACCCTTTACTATGACACTCCAGATTGAGCTTGGATGCATCCTGCTTCTTTCTAAACATCTTCACCTTGTAGTAAATTCACTTCACTGGACATGATTTATAATAGCACACGCCTCTCTTAATGGGGTCCCTTGGTTCCTGGGTCATGGTAGTGGAAAAACTAAGCCATGAAGAAGGAACTGTCTGCAGACCACTGATATGTATTGATCTGGCTATGTATTGATCTGGGTGGAAAAAATACCAATGTTTTAAAGGTTCCCAGGAGCCTGGTAACCTCCATCACTGTCGAAGGGAAAACATTTGGAACTAAGACTAAAGCTGGTTAAATTGACTCATGGGAGTTTTACATACACAAAAATGTTCTGAGGGCAGAAAGAAAAATTATTGGTTCAGAGAGATAAGCAATCAGATTGTAGAGGAGGTGGGACTAAGACATCTGATTGGTTGAACACATTTCCTGTACGATGATTAGTTATCTCTCTGAACCAATAATTTTTCTCTCTGCCATTGCAACATTTTTGTGTAAGTGACACTCCCATGAGTGTTAAATTGGGTAATGGCAAGAAGGGCTGTGGTAAAGGAGGTGAACAAGAGCCCAACTGACTCATTAATGGAACATCAGAGCTCATGTGAAAAGATGGGGAAAACTGTTGGAAGGACAAACCTATCTGCAGCACCCAATTAAACAAGTCTCCATGTTAGTGGCTGATGGAAGCCATTCCTGAGTATGTGCATCTGACCATACATCACTAACGGATTCCTAGATTATCTGGTCTGAAGATGCGAAACTCCATGTGTGGGAGACCCAGGTACCACACATAATCTGGCTAATACATCTTTACAATGAAGCATGGTGCCGGCAGCATCATGCTGCTGAGATACTTCGCAGTGGAAGGGACTGATGTGGATTAGAGAATGACGAAGATAGAAACAGAGACGTCATTGAAGAAAACCTGCTGAAGACCGAACATGACCTTGGGCTTGGCTTCACCTTACGGCACGAGAACGATCCAAAGCACACAGCCAAGACAAGGCTGCGGTGGCTTCAGAACGACCCTCTGAATGTCCTTCAGAGGTCCATCCAAAATCGAGAGCGCTTGAGAGGATCTGCAAGGACGAATGGGGGACACGGCCCTGAATCCAGGAGTGCCCAGCTGGCTGAAGGTTGTCAGAAACAATCCTGCAGGTGTATTCCCTATTACAGGTGGTGCTACAAAGCATGAAAAATGTTTCTGTAGACTTGCATAATGGGAGAGTCCTACAGTTAGAGTTACCAGCTAATTATACAATTGAGAAATGTACATAGACTGAAATGGGTCTTCCTGCTTATCCAGTAGAGGGCCACAGAGAGCACAGAGCCCATACTAGGAAGAACAGGGCATGAGAGAGGAAACAAACCAGACACACACACACACACACACACACACACACACACACACACACACACACAACAAGCAATTCAGAAATACCAATTCAACTTTTTTTAATTCACCTAAATTTTTGTAAAGTCCCATGTTCAACTCAATAAATAAAAGTTAAAAAAATTACTTGTTTGGCAACTGTAATTAATCTTAGCGTGTTTTTGGACTGAGGGGAGAAGCTAGAGTACTCAAAGGAAACATCACAGCTCTGCACACACAGAGCTAAGCCAAAAACTCGAACCCTGGCCCAAGAGATGTGAGGTGACCATGCTAACTACATAGATAATAAAAGATGATAAAAATAAAGATAATAAAAGTATGATGCAGTTTTCTGCATGTTAAATATATTTCACACACCTTAGGATGTGACTAGATTAGGAATTAGTGTTCACTTTACAAATGGTTGCTCGGATCTGCTTCAGGGCAGGAAGAGAGCCTTTCGTAGTGTATGCCGTAGACTGAGACTGTAGGCCTTCCCCACGTTGCACCGGTTGTACTCATAGATGACAGAGTTGACTTCTGTGTGAATGTCTAGAAGGTGACGCTTTCTGAAAAAGAACAATGGATTCACTCACACCAGGCCAAGGAATGAGAGAGCATCTTCTATTAGCACGATACAGCAGGTGCAAAGAGACAGCTGCAAAGCAAATAGCCAAAAGCTTTAAGGTCTGGTTATAAGATGGTGGCCTGCCAGTTGCACCCTAAAGCAAGATATTTATGGTCAACTGGCTCAGTGAAATGTCAAGCTTTATGAGCCTGTAAAATTGTAACAGGTAAAAGTGTCTTGGCCAAACAGCCACGGTGTTATAAAATGATAAACAGGGAGGCCGTACCTCTTCTGCCCGTTCAGCAAGGCAGCACACAGGGTGCGTAAATACACAGAACTGTGTGTGCCCTCCTCCAGCTGCCGGTGTTCAGTGCTGCAGTGGCTCCAGAAGACGTCCGCGCCCGAAGGCACGGACTCCATGTAGGCGGAGACAGAGGGCCCGTCAGTTTCCAGGTCGTCATCGCGGTGTTGCTGAAAGGCCGGTGCACCTGCGTCCACGGTGTAACTTTGGATGAAAAAGAGTTTCGGTTTTCCTGCCAGGCCTGGACAGGCCTCCGTGGAGAAGGACCGCTGGACAGCATCTAGGCTCAGACCCGGGCCAGTCTCCTCCGTGGCCAGGAGGCTGTTACCCTGACCACGGCTCAGGATGCAGCAGACGAAGGCATCAGATTCCTGGAGCTCACGGTGCCTCTGGGACACCATCCTCAGGATGGACCTGCTCTCAGCTACATTCGGCCACTTGTGCTGGATCGTACTGAAGTGCAGTCGCTCGAAAGCCTGCTCCAGCATGTCTGAGAAAAACATGCTTCCGTCATTTCGACGTTCCCAATTAGCACCTCCATGCAATGCCAAAAGCTAGGAAAGAGACTTACCTCCGTCATGGCCTACGCAGTCTATGATCACGCATACACCTCGGGGGTTAGCCTGCATCCGGTAGGTCTGCAAGGGGTCCTGTGGTTCAGAGGGTGAGAGTGGACAGTGAGCACGCAAGGGAGTGGGCTGTGTGCAAGCGGGGTCAAGAGAAGACCAACAAAGGCAGCTTCTCCCTCACATGAGGGGTATGAAGCCCAACTATCAGCGCTTTTCCACTGTCACCAAGAACCGAGCCGTACTGCGAACTGGCGGTTTTCCGTTGTGAAGCATGCAAGCCGTACTGACCCGCACCCATGCTGACATGGTCCTACTTACTAGCAGGGCTGAAATCAGCACACAGCAAATCATGATGTACACTGTGTGAACAGTAAATAAGCATCTCTGTCACTCTCCAAACCCGGTTACACCTTTACCAAACCGACCCCTCTGCAGTGGAAAACCGACGCGTGCTGGAACTAGTCTCTCTTTGTGGTACGGCTCAGGCACAGGTATGCCAGTGGAAAAGCGTCATATGACCAGTTCTTTTGCTGGGTCACAAGAATCCATGCAACAAATTAATTAATAAGAATACAAATAATGGAGAGAGCTGGGCGCCAGTCTCCCAAATTCGTTAATGTGATTTCCATTCACCAGTGATAATTACCCAGTCTCTGATGGGTCGCAGCAAGTTCTGAAAGGGTCATGAGGCAGAACTGACCCTAAGCATTTTAAAACCAGCAAGCGCCTATGCTGATCCACGATCAGATTTTCCAGCCCCAGTCCTAGAACTAACCTATATAAATGGGTCTTGTGTCTGCAAATGCTTAGTGTAAAACTAGGAGCACTCAACCAATCCAAGAAGCCAAACCACAGATGTTTAATTTAAAATTCACTGGCACATCCAATCAGATTTGTGAGATAGGTATTGATTGGTGTAAATTGCAGAGTGCACTGCACGTTTGTTCACAGTGTTAATTTAAACCTATACTTGATATAGGGTCAGACTGAGCTGGGATGGTAAAAACTGGGTCATGGTGCAAAAAGGTTGAGAACCACTGTTTTATGACATGAGCACTAATGTGATTAGAGGAAGCATATTAAAGGATATTTTTGAGAAGCGGTAAAGCCGATAGGTACAGATGTCAGTGTGAAAGGGAGGAAAAGGATGATTGCAGAAATCTACACACTCCTGCCACTCCGCAGAGGATCTGGTGGGTCAACACGATGGGTGTAAGCGTGCAAACACACACACACACACACACACACACACACACACGCTATCTAGGGATCAGCACGGGTTGGTATAAACCAGCAGAGTCACTAAAATAAAAGGTTTGAGCTCATTACCTGACAATACTGTCTTCCTGTTTCAGGAACTGACATTTTAACATTCTCTGGAGCTGAAATGGATAAACACATATATAAAATTCTGCAACCAACAGACTGTAGTGAACCAGTGCTATGTGTACATCAAAGAATAACATGATAAGATGTCTGCTTATCCAGTCACATCACACTGACACAGAACCCAAGCCAATGCGGGTCATGGAAGCGGGGGGTGGGGGCTCACCGTTGGCTCTGATTGGTTGCAGACATGGGGCATGAAGCTTGGGGGCGGAGCTCTGTACCGTCTGGCACTGTGAGAGCAAACATACTGAAAGTCAGAGCCTAAAGGAAACACCACCGTGGCACTTGGAACTCATGCATGTTGTATGTTTACATACACGGGCAATTCCCGGGCTGGGCTCTACCCTTGGGCTTGACATTCTAACATGTTGTGTCCCTGAACCTGGAAAAAAAACCATAAATAAGTAAAATCCTTTAACATTTTCAACATGATAACTAATTTCGGTTTTACTTACAAACTACAAGCGAAAGTAAAAATGTCACGCTCAGTTGGACCATTAGGTAAGCCCAGCTCAGAAAATTTAATCTGGGGAAAAACTACTGACCAAAGAAACAACAAAATCTGTCAGCAGGAGATTAAGGGTATTTCCATTACACCACACTATACACACTGCGTCCAGTGCAGATTTTCTATTTATCAAGAAAAAAGCACTCCGTGTATCATCACCACTGTATTAGAAACACAATAAATTATGAAATTTTTAATCCTGATCCACATTCCTCACCTTTCATCTGATACCGCTGGACCTTTTTGGCAAGATCCGCTCTGCGAATGTTCCTCAGACACTGTTCGATGAGTTCCAGCTTCTCACTGGAGACCTTGTTCAACTTCTCCAACTCAACCACCACGTCCAGAAAAGACTGCAACACGGCACAAGGACAGCTGCTCAGCACAGAGTAGTCACTGTCATAATCTGCCACATATTAACCTCAATCATCTTAAACAGGTTTATAAAAACTCCCCAAATGATCTAAAGCAAGAAGACCACTGTGACGTCAATTCAAAAATAAAAGCTAATCTTATTTCAAAATACCTCATCCCTGAAATTTTCAAGACAAAAAAAAAAGCAGGTGATTGAAGTGTGATTTGCAATATAAAAACCCGTGACAGAATGACATAATTTAACTCATTTCCCTTTTCCAGTAGAAAAAAAAAAGTTTCGAAATGGAGCATTTCCCCAGCAGTACTCACTGAAGGACACCATCTGTGAACTCTTTCAGGTTGCTCGGGGAAGTAAAACTAAGTCTGTCTTACATACCATAGGAGTCAGATACTATTCAGATTCTTATGATTAAATAGTTCGTATTCCTTCTTATTCAATCACTCACACTACATAATACAGGGTATGTGGTATACTCAAAAAGCATAATGAGAAATCAGGATTCATGAGTTCAGCTGGGAGTTGGATTATGGGAAGGCTTTTGCCCATATGTTTAAGTTTAATTTTAATATGATTATGAGATGAGGTTAAAATTGCTTCCATTCCAAAGGAAAAAAGCATTAACCATTTAGGAAATAAAATCTGGCATAAAACAGCCCTCACTGAAGTGGTACAATCTGTTATTGGGTCTTACTGTAGCAGTCTCCTGTCTTCCCTTTGGCAGGATCTCACTCAGCAGGAATATAAGGGAACGCAAATCTTCTTTACCCAAATTCTCACTTAGATCTGCCATCAGCAATCTGAAATACAAAACATTATCTTATATTAATATAAATAACAATATATTGATAGCAATATAAATATTTTGTTTACTTCTCCATCTTAGCCATTAGTCTCCCTGTATTTTTTTAACTGTAATGGATTTTCTGAATCTATATGTATTTCCGCGAATTTGCGATATAAATACGTGGATATGAATTAAATAAATTCATTACTTGATTTAGAGGAACTGTTCTCGTTTGAAAGCGTTAAATAGCCTATATTAACCGCATGTGATTTCACTTGATCTACCTAAACCAGTGGCTCAATACGTTTCTTCTGTATTGACAATAAAAGTGGGCTGTTTACCTATAATCCGACACTACACAGCCGTTTTCCAGCAGCCCTTCCACCTCCTGCCTGTTTCTTCCCAGTATCCTCTTTAAGATGTCAAAGCGTCCCATCTTTAGCATGAGCTCCAGCAGAATTAGCGGTCCCACCCGGACGTCGAGAGTCAGGGAGCTCAGCTTCCCCCGCAGGTCCTCCACGCAGCCTTCGGGCTCCAGATCTCCGCACAGATATGCCAGTTTACGGCGCTCCTCATGGTTCAGCTCTTCCACAACTCGATTGATTGTCTGGCACTGTTCGTCGGTCATTGCGGGTCCAAGAAGGTTAAAAGTACACGTTTCGGAGCTCCGGTAGCTTAGTCCTGCAAACATATATTCAAGTATTGTTTACAGTAATTTACATAAAAAATACAATTTATACAAAATAAAAGTACAACCGATTCCCTTAACCGGAGACACAGAATGACAGGCACATATATCAATCTAAATTAAGTTTCACGTACCTTACAAACATTTTCAGAAAGTCTATACGGGGTCTCCACTAAATAATTCCTACACGACACGGAAATGGGTGGAAACGGGAAACCCCAAATATACGTAGGGTTTCTACCTGCGCTTTCGCGGAAATGTCACACGCGTTTCTTTAAACGTTTAGTCACTTCCGAAGCGGAATATAGCTATTCGCGATTAAGATGAGAATCGACGGAGAAGCAGCTTTACTGGGTTTTACGATCATCGCAACCGCAAAATCGAATACCCGCCTAGTATAATTTACTGTTTAAATGTCAACAGCCCCGCGTATGGGCACATCTTATTAGAAATAGGCCTACATTAAATCATGTTAAATATTTAACTGAAAAACGGAAATAAAGACGCTATACCATATTTAGATTCTGGGCGAACGAGAGAAGTAAAACGAAGACATTTTCCTTGGTGGCCATGATGAAGATCCGGAGCCGCCCACAAAATGGACATTATTCCGCATAGGTTACATACCAGCTATAAACTTATCTTTTACGGTACAGCTGTTTTATGAGTTATCGTATATATGCATGGCAACGTATTTCGATGAAAGTGGTATTTAATTAGCTTAGTTCGTTTTTAGGTAGCTGGATTAGTTGAATTAGTTGACGCTTATATTAAATGCGTCATCCGTTGCTTAGCAGACTTTTCACGATTTTGTCGACATTATCCAGCATACGCATTAAAAAATGTATTGAAACTGTTCTGGAGATTCGGGAGTTATTTTGCTGTTTTCAACCGTGATCTATTTAAAAATATGTATACATTTTAATTAAAATCCTTCCTTAATAACTCATTCGAAATATTGAAACACTTTTGCGCTCGAATCGGATGTGGCCGTAATACATGTTGTAAGTTGATAGACTTAAATACGAAACAGCTCCGTCATTTTATCAAAAGAGCAACCTTTGTGAAAGCCACGCCCCACAAAACATTTAATTGGACGTAATTTATTTCTTTCTATATGACCATGCACTGACAAAGCGTTAGATGTTGCAAATTCGCTTACGATCGGAATGCAGTTTTAATTGGTATGGGAACTTAAAGCTACTGGGGAGTAAAAGACGTAGACGTTGCGCATCCAGTTACAAACAATGCTTATAAACTTTTAAGGTTTTAATTTTGGAATGTAGAGAAAGAGGGTTTCATTTATTTCTTTTTAAATGTTACAAATACATCTTAAAATTCTTTCTTAAGAAAATTATTATTATTTCTTGAATATTTGGTATGTTAGATATAAAAGTATATTATTGCTTAAGAATTTTTATTTACTATTACAGTGTAAATTATGGTTTAAAATTTTTTCTTTGTTGTTTATGCTTCTATCCGATTACATTGACATCTAATCATTCGGTCAGCGTCGTTCTCACCGCATTATCCAATAAAATATCCCAGTAAAAATGCAGACACGACTTTCGTGTCCTCAGTGTTTATTGTCTTCTGCTTAGCTGGTGCTGTAGCAAGTTCAGTAGCAGAACTTAATCCAAGGCAATTAAACGGGAAAGATTCTGACCAGAACGGAGTTGCGGAAGAAAAAAAAAGGGAAAAAAAATCACCAGGGTTATTCAAATCACGGTCCTCGAGGTCTGAGCACTGCTGGTTTTCCAGCCTTCCTTTACCTGTCAGTCAGGTGTGAAGCCTCTGACCAATCAGAATCAGTAATTATTAAACTATCTGGGAGGTCCAGATTTGAAGAACCCCGATTTACACTAAGAATTAATTGATTGGTTTTAATAGGGATATAAAAATGTTGAGTGTTCTAATACCTGCATTCATCTATCCATGCCCAAACAACCTTTTAAGTATTGCCTTCTCACCTATGAGTGCTAGGATAAATTTCTGACATTATTTTATACTTAATATTTTATACAATAACTTTTATAGATGCTTTTGTGCCAAATGATTGTAGGGAATGTAGGGAAAGCAGCATGTGAGTCAATCTATTTGAAGTAAAGACATTGCCAAAAAAAGAAGCTATTTGTTGAATTAAAATGGAATGAATGACCCATATAAACATACTGTACATGCTGTCAAGAAGTTGACTAGGCATCAGGGCAGCTAGTTTCCAATGAATGCCCAGGTACAAGTGTGTCAGCAATATTGGGAGCATAAGCTACATTTAACAAAGCACTACTATTCAATAAGCAGAAAGTGCGGCATTAAGATCATCCACGGGACATGAAGTGGTGTCAGGCTAGTAGAGGTAATCCTGGAACAGCAGTTTCTTGATAGTGGAGAGGGAATCTGATGAACAGATGTGGTTCAGCATCTCATTTCATCAGGGAGCAATCACAGATAATCCCTCCACCCCTATTTATTTCCACTCTATTGTATATTTTTTCTCGTAATTATTCTCTTTCCACCCTGGGTCTGTGTGTGGTTTTCTCCAAACCTCCCCAACCCCACCCCAGTCCAAAAGCACGCTAAGGTTAATCGAAGTTGCCAAATTGTCCGTAAATGTGAACAAATGCATGAGCGGTTGTGCCAAACTACAAAACACAGAATTCGGAATCAAACACACAACCTTGCGATTGTGATGCTACAGTGCTAATCACAGATACATTGTGTCACCCGAACAAACAGCAAGGCACACAAAACTGAAGAAGGAAAAAAAAAAACAAAACCAGTCTGATAGTGTAGTTGTATGTTAGCAGTAACCCCAAAGTGGTTAGACAATTTTCCTACATATTGTTCATATATTAAGGCAACAAACACTTGAGTTATTAATATTTATTACATTGAAATGACACATTCTGTACATCCGCCATGTGAAATCTGGCTCAGATGTAACAAGGGGTCTGTCTTCTCCCATGAACACTAGACAGGAGGGAGCAAAAAGGTGAAAGGTTATGTTTTTCTTAAATGAAGAGCATCTTGACAGGGGGATGCAAAGACAATGTCCCTTTGCGGCTCCATCGACCATCCTGTCACGCCTTGGCATTAGTGTTCGGACTTCCTGTGGGGGCCGGTGAGAGCATACTCCACACCAACAGCGGCCACGAATGCAGCAAAGCCCCACTTAAAGCCTCGAAATAAGACGTGCGAAAAGGTCACCGGTTTTGTAAAAGCTCCCAAGTAACGCCACGCCTCATTCCTGCAGGGCGGAGGGAGAGGAGGCAAACGTAAAACAAATGTTACATTTACTGGATGCTTCTCAAAAATAGACGTGTAGGTTCACAATTAAATCTAACATTACTGATCTATCATGACCTGGACAAGCCCACCAGATAAGGATATTATGGCACTGTTTTTTTTTTAACAAAAAAAGACCACCATAGTAACATGACCAGAGGATTTCCCAGTCAAGCAGAAGGTTCCTCTCTGTTGTAACATTGCCCAGGTACTTAACCTAAGATAATAAATTAAATTAAGCCCTAGAAAACCAGCCAAATGTAAAAGCTACACATAGACAAAGTAAATTATTATTCATAAGAAAAATAGGTTAAATAATTCAGAGGAACAAGGCCGTCGGTACTGTAGGCCAGGTCATACAGGACTCCCTCTCACCTGGCCCATGGGTCCCTCAGCCCCCTGCGTGCCAGTCTCTCCTGAGTGAATTCCATCGGGGTCCCCTCAACTTTCCACTGCTTATGGTCCGGCATAGACAGCTTCCCATGTCCATGATCGCCACCCATGGCTGCGAACAATAACAGAAACGGTGTCATGGTCCATTTTTATGTGCAGAGCTGTGCTATCAGCCTTTGAATTTTACTAACACCTGCGGAAACTATAACTGACTAGATTAAGTATAAACTGGCGCTGGCTTTCATACGTAAAGTACCCAAAGTTAACGGAATCAAACACGCAACCTTGTGGGTGTGAAGATACTGTGCTAATCACAAATACATTGTGTCACCTGAACAAACAGCAAGGTGTTCTTTTAGGAAACTTGACTTGTGAATAGTATGCAGAAATCTACCATTATACTATTAAGCAAGGCACCTGCATGAATTGGTAAGTGCGTGCTATAAAAGCAAATTAAACAATTTTACAATAAACATTTGTTATAACTTTATAGCCAGAGTCGGTGCAAATTTGTGGCAGAAACGTCAAAATCCCAGATGTAACAACCTTATTGTGTCATTCAGCAAAGTTGTCAATCAAGCAATGTACACGAAATGTTAAATGTTTGGCAAATTCAATTTTACTTAAGAGTGAGTAATACATTCGAAAACAGACTATACTCATACGATGTCAAAGCCACCCACAATCCTTCAACTAGCTAGGTAAAGGGTACCGCCTTCTAAATTATTGCACTAGGAAGTAACTAATGCGATTTGATGATACAAGAACATTACAACATTACACTAAATTCCACACTGCAAAGCGCAGCTAACGGGCCACCAATACTGTAAACCAGTAAGCAAGTATTAAAGAACAAATCCAATCTAGATAGCTACGAAGCTAGCAGCCGCTAATGAGGATGTCTTAGTTTATCTTTCGCATTCCTAAATCAAAACTTCGGTCATTTTCCTAATAGCTAGGGGCATCATATACATATCTGAAACAGTGATAATTAAATAACGCATAAAACAATAAAAAAACGTGCAGAAATAATACCTTGGTTTAGGAGCCTCAATGACCTTTACTAGCAAACACCTCACAATGTGTATTTTTTCCTCTCTTCTACGGTAGTCGACGAAGGCCAATTTGAAAAAAAAAAAAAACGCATTTCGAGATCCTTATATATGAAGCTCGCTAACAAAGAGTTAAACTTATTATTGAACCATTATTTTAGAAAGTGTTTTTAATTTTTTTGGCGGAATGTAAAATTGGTCTTAAAAGTCTTTCGATGCAGCATTCTGCTTTTAGATAAAAGGGAATACCTAAATGTGAAAAATTTGAACTATGAACCACATTATGTATAAAGAACTGCAGTCACATTGAATTTTAAAAATAACATTCACAGGGCCGTATAAAATAAGTAAATAAAGTAAGAAAAACAGATAATGAATTTTACAGGGCACATTTGATGTGAGACCAACATATCACGACATAAAAATAACTTTATGAATAAAATTAATTTGAAGATAAGCATAAATGTGCATTACAATCGAACTGGGCAAAAATTAAATACATCTGACCTGCACGTAACAAAAACAGGTTATCCAATTATGCATATTTGGATTATGGTTCACCCACAATGCCATATTATTGATACAAATATAAGCGTTGATATATTTCACTAATTGATCATGGTGACCCCCGTGATACTGTACACAGGCTATTTTGCGGTTTATGCTAAAATTCACTTGATCCTTATAAATACCTTGTAATAAATTAATTTTAATTTCATTACAATTGCATAACGTCAGTATAAAAGATTGTCTGCTTACATGACTGTAAAAGGAATAACTCAAACAACGTCGATAAATTGAAGATCCTTGATTGAGTGCGTCAGACTAAAGAAGATGCAAAAAGCAAAATATAGTAATATGTACAAGAGAACATCCCGTTCTGCTGTTGACATATATAGTCGTGATTGGACGTTACTGAGGTGAGGGGGACGTGTTATCATGTACTGCGCTCCCAAAGGCGTTAATATTAGTACTTCAAAAAATGCCACGCCGCTGACCAACCGTTTATATAGACGCACCACGATGCATTTTCTCCCTGGCGATAGCGAACATCACAGGTTGTACCTTTTAGTTTTTATATTACCTCATTGCCTCGCCACCTCCAGCAAGCGCCGCACCGCTTGAGTCACGTCCACCCGGCCAATTGAGTGGCTCGTTGGAGCCCCTAAGCCGCCCGCCCAATGGCAGCGTGCGATGGTGGAGCAGCGGGGCTGGCAGGAAGGAGGCTGCTACTGTATTGGAGAGCCGGGAATCACTCAGGCCGGACCCGGGGGTACTGACTAGAGGAAGGGGGTGGGGGGGGCGATCGTGAAGTGAAACACATGCGAATTATTCCAGTGCACCGAGGACTAGGGATGTATGTTAGCTGTCCGGTTGGCCGCGCAGGAATGAGTTCATAGTGAAGTGGTGGCGATCAGTGTGGCGCCGGGTTCCCTGACGGCGCCTTGCTCGTCTCAAGGACTAGGGTTGTTTATTTTAAGGGACTATCCGGTTAGAAGACAGCCGGAGCTCTGCGGAGATTTCTCAGGTAAGTACAGCGCCGTGAAAGCTGGCTCTCCCGCTGAACTTTTGCAGTAAAAAATAACCGGCGATTTCTCATTTGGGGGAGGCTGCCTGCCCCGGCCGGGCGGATTCAGACTTTTACGTGGCGGCGGTGCTGCAAATTACGGTTTAGCCGACCTCGCTGCTCTGCTCCAACTGCCGTAACGTGTCGGTTTCCGTAAACGGCGTGCCCCCCCCTACCCCGACCACCACCATCGCTCTCTAGGGGGGATCGATAGGCAGGGTGCAATCGGCATGACGGGTCCGAGTTCCGTGCCCGCCAGACAGGCGTGATTCCGGGTGCAGGGACACGATCGCTCATACCCGGACAGCCTGCAGCCCCAGTGGAATTACCCCGTGATTTGTGACCTGTACCGGATTGAGCATGGCGAATGGATTACGTAAACGCCCGGCCGGCTACCATCGGTCGATTTGTTGTCTCTAAGACCGCAGAAACCAACATCTGATGTAAATTGCAAAAGAGAAAGGGACATGTATCGGATGCGCTATAATGCAATGGTCTGTATACGCGGGTTTATTTATTCATTCATTTCTGTGTTTACCCCATTCCCCCACCCCCACCCGGCTGCTTTGCAGTGAAGCATCTTAACTGGCCAGGCAGCATACCCTGATCATATATATGACACACATATATAATACATATCATGTATATACAGACACACATATATAATAATTGTGTGTGTGTATGTGTGTGTGTGCATGCGCGCCCGTGCGGCATGTGTTTTGCGTCGCGCGGGGGTCTCGCCGGGGATGCGCGAGGGATGAGACCAAGCGCGAACGTCACGCCGCGAGGGCTGCGGATCCGCTGCCGATTGCCTGTGAAAACGGCCGCTGAACTCACCAGGAATCCCACGAATGTTAGAAGTGTGCTTGGGGCACCCAGAGTGGCAAAAATATTCGAGAGAGGTTATTTTTGTGCCTTGTAAGACTGTCACTAAAAGCTTCTTTTAGCAACACCCAGTGATAGAACTGGTTTGGACCTTTTAAATTTTAACTGTCTGTGCATGTGGATTTTGAGAAGTGCACCTGAATTTGAAATTATGTGTTATTATTGGATTATCTCCCTCAGTGGAGCCAGTCACGCATGCTGTGACGCTCACCCTATGACTTTCCTTCTCATCTTGGCGCTCTCCGCATCTCTTCTCTGGAAAGGCACGACTGGTGCGGACGGCAGCAGTATGGGATGCAGTCATTGGCTCTATCCCAAGAGGGAGCATTATGCTCCGCGCGCGGTTCCCGCGAGATGCTGTGTATTCGGTCCTGGATGATCGAGCCGCAAAGGGGGCAAGAATGGGTGACGTGGTCCAGGTTGGGCCCATTTCCAGGGACACACATGCCCCTGTGGTGTCGCTGTCGCAGATCAATTCCAGCCCTGACCTACTTAACGGCAAGGGGACCGGTTCGGGTTCCAATCAGTGGTACAGAGCAGCCTGGGATGGGACAGTCAGCCTGAGGGTCACGTTGCAGCCCCTAGATTCGCCCTGGGGTGTGTGTGGGATAGACCTCCTCCATTTATCCAGGCTCAAGATCTGTGGAGTGGCCTTGCTGAGTGGGCTGGATCGTGCATGCAACAGTGGGACCTCGAGTAGGCCCGTGACCTTCAATAAATGATCTGGACTCAGATGAAGATTTCCGTAGAGCCTTACCAATTGTGCCATTCTGTCCTGTTCGTGATACGGTCGCATGTCGGTCGGGATTCCGCCAGACTGCATGTGACTTGATAATTGGCGGGATCTCTGGCCTGGATAAGAGCTTACATCCTGCAGCAGATTTATTTGCTAATGCTCCAGCCTGGATTAAGTCTGACCTCTGACCTGTGCCCAGAACGGCGTTTTGCAGATTTCCAAAACTTGGTTAAAATGGAGACCAAATCCTGGTTCCTTTTCTGCCTGCATGGTTGTAACTTTTCAGATGAACAAAAAGGGCTTTTTGTACCCATCTGCTGTCTCCACCGCAGTGTCAGGAACGTAAAAATGCAAATGCTGTTTGGATCAGGAATTTGGGTGTCTTAGCTCTGTGGATACACAGCCAAGCAAACAAATAAACCCAGTAACCAAGTCAAAGGACACCTTGCCAAGGGGTCAGGCTTTGTTCCAGTGAATGACTAGTTTGCAAACTTTATTTTACCTCCTGTAACCACATTTCTGCACCGACAAAGTGACAATATCTTCTGCACTAGTGGTTAGTCATTAACCCAGGTAGGCTCTCGCTCGCCCTGTGTCGGCTGCGCACACCTGCACGCGGAGCACGGTTTTGTGCTCCGGGGCCGAGGTAAAGCGTAGTTTTCTAAAAATAAAAGATAATGCCATTCAAAGTGTGGAAATATTGTGAAAGCAGAGGAGCGCATGCGATGCGTGTTATGCAAGATGCCGTGATGCCGGCACTGCAAGTGAGCCAACTTTGCAGCCCTGCTCCTCATAAATTCCATCCACCCAGATGGGTAGAGATAAATACTGGAATATTTCACTGAATATTGCTGCCTCCCTTCTTTCAGACTCGCAGGTGGAAATGCCTGCCGATTCTGACTGGGACAGGTCAAGAGCCAGACTCAGATGCTGTCTGCCTACTCTCTGCTCACCTTATGTCGTCTTAATCATATGCCAGAAGCTCTTGCTTGTCAAGTGGATTCATGACACACTTGTCAAATGCTTTTTTCCCAGTAAAAGTGGTGGTGCTTTTATTCACGTCTACTTGGACCCTTCAGCCCACACCTCCACCATTAGGGCAGGGGGGCTGTTGACCGCCGTTTGGCGTGACCCTGGTGAGACGCTACAACAAAAGCTGATAAACACAGAGCTATTGTTTGAGGGGATCACACCTACTCTTACTGTCATTCTGTGACGGCCGTCTTGGTAAACAGGCGTCAACAAACTTCTGTTCCAGCAAGCAGACTTCGTCAGTATACTTCGTGACTAATGTATGAAGAGGTTGTGTCAATTTTTGGATTTTGCGGTTTATTCTGTGCTTAAACGATCAGTTTCTGCTCTATAGTCTGGCACACGGAGCTTTCAATCTTCCTGAAGCAAACGGGTGTTCATCTGATAGAAGAAAACCCGTGGCAGGTCCTTGGCCCTGCCCCCCCACCCTTCCCCCCCCCATTGAGACATGTTGCCATGATCCCTCCCTGTCCTGTCATTACCAAGTCCACTGTCTGCACACTCCCATTTCAGCATGGGGGGGGGGGGTGTACCTGCTAATGTCTGTTGGTTGGAAGTATCTTGAGCCGTGCTGCTTTATTTCTGGTCGAGCTGTTTTAAAATACCAGACGTGTCTGTAGACTGGAAATAGTCCAGTTTTACCTGCTTGAGCTGCAAGTTTTAGTTACCTGAGGTCAGCAGAAGTTTATGTAGCGAGTGGGTTGGGAGGGACAAAGAGGAGACTATTCTTGGTGCTGGAGGCACACCCTCAGAGTAAATGTGTGATGGGAGTAGCGAGGAAGTAGTCGTGGCAGAGCAAAGAAAGACAGGATTCTTCAGGGTTTCACAGTAACAAAATGTCGCAAAAGGGTGCAGATAGGGAAATAATACCTTTACGACTAAAAATAACTTCTAGGTTTTCGTGTTTCCTGTCTGCTTTTATAACCTTGTAAATTCAGGGGCGTATAGTTCAGAGTCTTTGCTGTTGTTACAATACTTATATTTATATATGGCGTTAGCTTGGTTTCAGTTCCTTTCAAAAAATTATTTTATGCAAGGAAATTACTTATGCAGGAGAACTGGGTTTAGAGGCGACCGTTAGATTTGACTTATAAGACCTTTTGTTTTACTAGCAGATGATGAGTTACCCGATTCATCGATTCTCCCTTTGAATTCTGAGGGAAATGCTGCAGTTTCCCATGCAGACATAGGCCTGCTCATTGTCATTCCTCCACTTGATGGATTTCTCTCTATACACCTGCCAGAGCCACAGGGACCACTGCAGGGGTCTTGCCCATCATCTCAATCTGTGATCACACAACCGGTGTCAGGCCAGTGAGGAGAGAGTGTCTCGGGGGGTTGGGGGGGGGGGGAGGTGCTGTCTGTGTGCTTCCTTTTTAATGATTAGAAGCACACCAGGATCTCCATGCTGTCGCACTGTGAGCGGGAGGTGCATGGACCGCGGAAACAGCATGATATTTGAGGCCGTTCGACATCTATGCATGTGTCAGGGGGTTTCGCATGCGGGGTGCTGAATTAGTCAGTTCTAGGTTTTAAAGCGCGCAGAACAGGCTTTTGCCGCTGACTTGAGAGATGAAGCAGTGCAGATGTTTTAAACCGTCCACCTTTTAGAAATACGGAATCACCAAAAGTGAAATATAATGAAAAACATATATAGTATTTTTGGCATGTTCGCATCGAGTCTGCTAGAGGGGGCAGACTGTTCTTTAAAAGATCAGAATTAAGGGCTTGATAGCCGCAGTAGAATGGTGAATGGAGAGATGCACCGTTATGTCTACAACTAAAGGTGGCTTCCATTCATTGATAGTTTCCTGCAGAACTGAGTGTGTGCGGTTATCCTCAGCGTTGTTGGCTAGTCTTATCACATATCAAGAAAATGTTGTGACGTGTGGAATCAGAAATCACTGGTCTCACTGCTATCCCAGCCCCCCCTCCCCCCCTTATATTTTCTGTCTGTGGTGCTCAGAAATTGCTACTGTGTCCTCTTGTTCTGTATCGTGAAAAAGTGCCTCTGACTCCTGTACAGGCTGACTCTCTGACTCCTGTACAGGCTGACTCTCTGACTCCTGTACAGGCTGACTCTCTGACTCCTGTACAGGCTGACTCTCTGACTCCTGTACAGGCCGAGTCAGGGATGGCGAGTCATGTGACTGGAGTGTTAATACAATGAATCGTTTACTGACTACGCTCCGCTGCCACCTTAGCACAGGTGAAATGAGAGCAGCCCAGACTGGGTTGACAATGTCTTTCCCCTTGTGCATTTGGCACGCTCCAGATTTTGTATCGTAACATTCGGTTTTTTCCAGAG